ATACAGTAATCGTGGAAAATAACAGATCAAAAGCAAAATTCGTTGAAGAGAGTTGAATGTCTAACAATTCTTGCTGTTTTCGCCAGATTTTTTTTTTTTTACAGGGAAGTGGCAGGGTGTCGTGAAGATCAAGATGTGGTTCACGGCAGGAGGAGCTATCGAGTTCGGACAAGCTATGTTACGAGCTGGACAGCTTGGTAAGATCCGCTCTACTGGCCAATGACTAGGAGAGCTTACACATTTGTAAATTGTCCTTTATCCATCCATTTGTCTGTCTGTCTATTGTAAACGTTAGTTTTTATATCCCCCACAAACAAAGTTTGGTGGGTATATAGGAATCACTTTGTCTGTCTGTCAGTCTGTCCATCTGTTTATCTGTGCAAACATGTCCGGTCCATGTCTTTCTTACTGAGGAACATTAGAATCTACTACTTCACACAAAGATTGTTCATGACCTGAGGGTGCATCATGACCTTGACCCAAGGTCATTTGGGCAAGTTCAAAGTCACTGAAAGGAAAAAAGGTTATAATTTGTGTCTGGTCCATATCTTCCTTATGGATAAACTTGGTGAGTTCCCATTTTACACAAAGATTGCTTACGACCTGAGGGTGTTTCATAGCCTTGACTCAAGATCATTTGGGCAAGTTCAAGGTCACAATTCCATTTAGTCAAGGGTCATATCGCAAACATGATTTAAATGCCACTTCATCAAGAGCTGTGTAGCGTAGTGGTTAGCATGTTAATCTCAAAGGAAAATGATACTCAGAACTTATTGCTAGAGTTCCAACCCCACAAATACCGTAGAAGCACAAATTTTCGTGGGGGATAAAATTTCGTTGATTTGTCATTTAAAAAGGTTTCGTTGGCATTGAATTTCATTGTTTTGAAAGTAATTCATTCAATATATAATAATATAAAAATTTTGTGTGGGATTTAATTTCATTGATAATTGTTAAAAACGAAATAAACAAAATTGAATCCCCGATGAATATTTCTGCTTTTACCGTACCACATTATTTTTTGAATAACAGAATAATTTTTGCCGAGAAAATTTTACTCAGAAAAGTTTTATTAATCATAATTTCATAAATTTCAATAATGAGAACTTTACTCTAAATACTAAATTCACAAATTGATTTTGATTTTTATATATCTGAAGCTATAGGCATTCTGTGCGCCTTATTCATCCAATTCCTTTATGCTAACTTGCCGAAAAATATTGCCAAATATTGTGCATGTTAAATATAATACATGTATATTTACAGTATTTCAAAATGATACACCTCCAATAGGTTTGATCTGATTTGAATGCATGTATAATTTGATACAAGAGTTGTACATGCAAGACTTAGTACTGATTAAACACAAGTCCATATAAAACTCTCCTCACAGAAATCGTAACCAGTAGAGCTACAGTCCAATGAAAGACCTTGAACAATATTGCTAATTGTTAAACTGATTTTTATGATAAATTCAAAATGTAAAATAATTTTATCTTAAATGAACTGAATTTCCTATATCAATCTTTTTTTTTCAGCATCCAGGTACCAGACACAACAACCTCCTCCTTACACCCCTCCACAGGGTCCAGTTTACCAGGCCCCACCCCCCATGTACACCCCACAGTACGGAAATTATAACTGGGTTCCATTTGGTACATTCCCTTCAGCTCCCCCAGGTTTGTATTACAGACACCACTGCTCTGTTTGCAAGATTTAGTTTATAAAAGCTGGTTACCTCTACATTGAATTTTTATTGATTTTTCTATAGTTTACATGTAAAACAAAAATTGAAATTATTTTGATCATTTTACAAATACACGTTTACTGTTGTACTTTTATTTTTATGAAAGCTCTTTACGTGTACATTGCAATTTTATCAGCTCACCTGAGCCAGAATCAGAACAACAGGGCCAAATATAACAAAACTTGGCACAAAGCATCCTTGGGTGAAATGGTTCAATTTGTTAAAAAAAAGGCTCATGCTAACTTTGAAGGGGAGATATTGAATAATACAGATAGGATGGGGTCATTTAAAAAGAAAACTCTACAACCACTGGGCCAGAAAGAACTTATATGAAAGACTCCTAGATTCAAGTTTCTTTAAATCATGGCCTCCAAAAAACCCTCAGCTTGTGAAGATGCCTAGGTTGTGGCCACAATAGGTCAATGTTTAATATAAGAGTATGTAGAGAAAAAAATCTCCTCTACAATGAGTCAGATTAAAACACAAATATTCCCATTATAGTTGACACCCTGTTTTGTTACAGCTGAGCAGGTGTATATGACAGAATCTCCACCCCCTTACCCCGGTATTGAACCTACAGCCCCACCCCCAGCTACAAATGGGTACCCTCAGCAATCAAGTGCAGGTCAGAGTTGATTTTTCATTTTTCTACTCGGTTAAAATGCTAGTGTCATGTATCACTCTATATATTAACTGAATTTGATGCCATCAAGTTGATGGTTGAAGCACTTGAATATGTTTGGTAGAAAAAAAAAATTATGAATTGTATGAATAACTAGATATTTCTTTTATTGTAAGAGATTTTGGGGGAAGTAAAACATGTTGACTTCTATCTGCAGATGCCAAGGCCCAGGAAGCTGCTGGATCTGCGTACTATAATCCCTCAGCCCCCCACAATGTCTACATGCCCCAGCAACAGCAGTATGGAGGTTATGGCGCCCCGCCATCCTACTCAGATGTAGTCAACAAGAAAAACCAATAAAACAAGTGATACTAAAAATAACTGACACTAAAGATAAATTTGATATTTAATTGAACTTTAACTATCTGTATTTTTAATGTGTATTTAAAACAAGTTTACATTTTTATCATTGGACAGTTTTTACCTGAAAAAGAAAAGAATGGCTCTATTTATGCACTTACTAGTGGATTATAAAAAGTATTTACATGTATTAATGATAATGCTTTATAAGTACAACATAAGTGCACTGAAATTGCAAGTTACTGTTCACAAATAAGAATCAGTTGTATTATAATTGTAATACATTATCACTGGCAAAAATATTTATACACTGTTTCATGTACTTTTTGTTATATTTATGATGGAGGTGTTTAATGTGTTAATAGTGACCCTTTATTTTGTTAAAGTGCAGAGATATTACATATGCATGTAGTAATGATGTGTTATATCAGTCCTGGCTATTGAGATTCTTTTTCAGGTGTTGGCCATTGTTGCTCAGTGTAACAGGTTGCTGTTATTTTCATTTATATCCATTCTCAGAATACTGTGTCTGTGCATTTGACTATGGGTCCACTTTTCTTTTCCTGAAGTACATTTTCTTTAAATAAAGAAAAATTGTTGTTTAAAAAAAGAAGTTTTTCAGTAAATGTTATTTGTTGAATTAATATTAGGAATCATTAAAGTCTGAGTATGAGGATTAATATACTTTTGTTTTTATGGCAGTAATTACTCTAGTACCCGGTACACTGTATATACAGTTAGGCAAATTAATAGTTGTTATAGCTCTGTTGTTTTCAATAAAATCAGTGACCATGTTTTTTTTTTTTTTTTGGCTTGTTAAAGTCTGAAAATAATTCACATCAACAATATTATGTGAATGCATGGTTTGATCAGAGAAGTATGATAGTCACTCTGCACTTAAATTTGGAAAGTGGTAAAAAGCTAAAACATGCAGATTAAACCATCAAATGTGCTTCAATTACTCATAATATTATCAGTCAAAATCTATTTCAATTTAGGTATCTTGTTGAATAAAGACAGTTTTGAATCAAATTGAGTGTTATATAAGAATATTGAGAAATGATTGTATAAAATCACTTCATATGTTTACCCTACATTTCCCTTTCTTTTCAGTATAGTTGGTTTTTTAGGGGCACCTTTAGTCGAAATGAAATATGAAGATAACAAACAGTAATCAAGCTCAAAAGTCCATTGAAAAAAATCAAATTGGGAGCAGAGGAAACACAGACCTCTAAAATATCAGAGGTGGGGTCAGGTGCCATAGAGGAGTAAGCATCCCTTGTTGACCAGTAACATCCTCCATGTGCTCCTAGTCATGACTGGGTAAATTGAAAAATCTGTAGACAATTGAATGTGAAAATAGTGGCCTAACAATTTGTATGAAAAACATCAGTCAACATTCAACTTAATGATAGATTGTATTTGCCAATAAGGTCATTGTATTGAGGATAGAATTTGTGACATGTTGGCTTTAAACGAGACTGTTGATATCCTTGTATTATCAACTTATTTGTCAATAGTTTGTTTCATTTGAGAATTTTTTGTAGGTAGAACATGCTCTTGCGTATCGAATCAACTGAGAGGCATAACCTCCATATACAGGTTACAATGGTATATTACTACATAAATAAAGGAAGTAAATGATTCAGGTCGATAGATGATAGAAAAGTCGAAGTCATCACATTTGTTGTTAGTTTGCCTTTAATTAAAATGTCTTTCGATCTCTCAGACTAGTAAAATATCCAAATATGAAACAGATGTGTCAGACTCTGTGGTATCTTTTAGTCTGAGATCAAAGGGATATAACAAATCAATGCAGGAATAAAAATGAATATTGTTAATTTATAAAACATCGTCCATATAAGGCCACAGCAAGAGACTTTTTCATGTTGAAGTTTCTAAATAAATTTTGCTTCATATTAATAAAAAATTAAAAAAAAAACAAACAGAAAGTAAGGAAACCTTTTTTTTTTTTACATCCAAATTTATATTTATCCCACCCTTTGACCGTACTTTGACACAGCTAGTCGCTGGTGTTTTTACATCCATTTCCAATTTTATCCGATTATGTATTTTTGTATTATTTACAAATATGGATGCGCCCATTGGGTCACACGTAAAATTTAGCAACAAATATTGAATTAAATGCTCGCGTATTCATTTCTAAATAACGTGATCTTATGCCACCATTTTATAATTAGGAAAGGAGTATTACAATTCTGACGCGTGGAGACTCATTGTTATTATCATTTGGTACTCGATCATCAATGATGTGGACCTGATTACCATCCGAATTTCCTTTATTGAAATTCTTAGCATGCTGATTCCATGTTTTGCGAGAATGTAAGGGCGATTTAATTACATGTATTTGAAGAGGTTATATTATGAAAATATAACTCTAGATACATATCAATGGAAACCCATTTTTTGTGACAGTCTATTGATACTAATGGGTCAGCGATTTTTTTCTACCCATTGGGAAAGGGTCCGGTACCGGTTCAGTTGGGAAAAATAGCATCGAAGTAGATCAAAGGAGAATTTTCTGGCATTTAAACAAATGAAGCGTATTTTCAGTTTATTCCAACTTCATTACATATTACCCCGTGTTTTAAAGAATAAACAACAAGTATTAATTGTTTTTCATATCATTGTCCCTTGTTTTCGCATTTTCATGCTTTCAGTTTGTCAAAAAGTATGACATTACGCTGTCTACACCACAGGTCCCCCCATATTAAGACTAAATTCTACTTTCGATTCAAGCGGAAGTGAAACAATTAGTCAACTTGTACAACATGTACAATGTTTCATTTAAAAAGAAATACGATGTCATCATAGTCTGTTGCTTGGCAGTTGAATTGGGAATTTTTAGTCTCAAAATTGGGAAAAATTAACGTTTTTTGGCATTGGGAACGGTACCGTTTATCAGTACCAGTTATATAAGGAAAAAAAAAACGCTGCGGGTAATATAAAGTCACCTGTGGTTTGGAGCCTGTAGCTCAAATGGGATATTAGAACAGATCTGAATATATCTAATTTAGAATCCATACAAATATGAAATGATTACACAAGAGTGTGGAAAAAAACATGGCAATACATAATATAACTATAAGGCCTAAAAAAATTATAGATTTACACTATATTTTTTTTTATAGCTATAACACTTCTACAATGTTTTATGGGTTAATGACTACCATCATAGTCCTACATACAAAATATTTTAGCTCCAATTCCACCTTACATGGAAACATACTCAAAACAATATGATTATCTGTAAATATGTTCATTGATGATACACCACAAGGAAAGAGGGATGAGAAAATCATGCATCTGAGAGGAAACCAAAATTTGAACCAGAGATCCTGATAAATGCTTTAAATACTAAGTGTACTATTTATTGTACACTATAGAATGTGTAATTACCACGATTCTTTCCCCTTCTTTTGGGTTTACCTTGACAGGTTTTCAGAAAATGTCTTAATAAATTTTGTTTACATTTTTGTTTAGGAGTGAAATGGCAATATCAAAGTTGAGTTTGCGACTATGTCAAAGAGCCATTGTGTCTCTACACAGATCATACTGCACTGTGTCGCCACGAAATGTCCTCAAACTGAGGGAGAGAGGAGTTGTTCACTCTGTTTTCCCGGCTACACAGTATGTTATAATCATTATAACAACTACTATATTTTAGCTCATAGTTCTGTAGGGTATTAGTATTAAATCAGCGTAATTGTCATTGTATTATTTCAGTATTCATGAATTGGAGAAACAGCTAGGTCAGCCGCTGACTGTGTATTGCGGGTTTGATCCTACAGCAGACAGTTTACACATTGGGAACCTCCTGGCCATTATTGCTTTGTTACACTGCCAGAGAGCCGGCCACCACACAATTTGTGTTGTAGGTGTTTATATTTTACTTGTAGTTGATTTGTGATGTAGGGACTTACTTTTTAAATGTATTTGATTTATGTTGTGTGTTTTATAAAATTTGTTAGGAAGATAAAAGTATAAGATTTACTGAAGGTAAAGTCATCATGGATACAAAGTAACCCAGTTTGCAAACTTGCATGAATCAATAACATTAAATGGTGCAGCTTTGCAACCTTGATTACTTTTTGTATCAGTGTAATTATTTTTTCATCAGTGTAATTATTTTTGTATCAGTGTAATTATTGGTATTCATTAAGAAATTTTGTAAAACATGTACATACCTGATGTAGGTGGGAGGGGCCACAGCTCAAATTGGTGATCCCTCAGGGAGAACTAAAGACAGAGACCCCATGAAGCCAGAGGTTGTGGAGAGAAATGTTGCCTCCATTACTGAAAGTCTAGAGAGAATATTCTCCAATCACCAGCGGTACTTCTGGAGGAACCAAAGCAGGGAGCTTCCAGCTGTCAGGTGATAACACAAACGAACACTTCAGGGAATTTCTTGTGATAAGAATTTTGTCTTAAGTTTACCACATGAGCACTGATTTCTATGTGGTTAATTTTTTGTATGTGTTGCAGGATTTTGAACAACATTGATTGGTACAGCAAGAAGAGTGTGATAGATTTCTTATCAACATTAGGCAGAAAGTTTAGGGTGGGCAGCATGATGCACATGTCCAGGTACAAAGTGACTACTGATAATACATGTACCAGTACATAAAAAGATGGTAACGTTAAAAAAATACATGTACAGTTTTTTTACTTTGTCTAGGATACAATGTAAATTGTAAAATTGTATAGTGGTAGTCATGATGGAGATTAAAAACTTGTCCACAAATACAAACTTGTGAGGCAAGTCAAAAAATTATTTGAAGATACTGAAATTTCTTCTTTTTTTTTGGTGAATTCTGCAGTGTGAAGACACGAATGGAGTCAGAGGAAGGACTGAGTTTAACAGAATTTACCTATCAGGTGTTTCAGGCCTGTGACTGGCTTCACCTGTATGAAAACTATAACTGTACTGTACAGGTAAGTCTTACCTATCAGGTGTTCCAGGCCTGTTACTGGCTTCACCTGTATGAAAACTATAACTGTACTGTACAGGTAAGTCTTACCTATCAGGTGTTCCAGGCCTGTGACTGGCTTCACCTGTATGAAAACTATAACTGTACTGTAAAGGCAAGTCTTACCTATCAGATGTTCCAGGCTTGTGACTGGCTTCACCTGTATGACAACTATAACTGTACTGTACAGGTAAGTCTTACCTATCAGGTGTTCCAGGCCTGTGACTGGCTTCACCTGTATGAAAACTATAACTGTACTGTACAGGTAAGTCTTACCTATCAGGTGTTCCAGGCCTGTTACTGGCTTCACCTGTATGACAATTATAACTGTACTGTACAGGTAAGTCTTACCTATCAGGTGTTCCAGGCTTGTGACTGGCTTCACCTATATGAAAACTATAACTGTACTGTACAGGTAAGTCTTACCTATCAGGTGTTCCAGGCCTGTGACTGGCTTCACCTGTATGAAAACTACAGTTGTCCCATTCAGGTAAGAATTCACTCATACAAAAGCTTCATCACCTACTCCAAGTAAGATTTCCCCTGTATAACAATTACACCTGTACTGTCCAGGTAAAATGCACCTGTACAATAATTACAAATTTACCTGTATTAAAACTACTGTATCTGTATGGAGACTTCAGGTATTCCTAAATAGAAACAAGTTGTAATCTTCATTTAAAACTATCATGTAGGTGAATCTGGAGGACAGATATACCTATCTATCTATCTTTTGATTACGTACATTTATCTATTTGTTTGTCTACCTTTAATTGATCAAGTTAAATTTTTACTAATTGGGAAGTACATGTAAGTCTTTAAGAATTTTAAAAATTGTAAGAACTACTTTGAAATTGATAAAAACTGTACTTGTGTAATCCACTAATGAATCTGAAGTTTTGTGCAGCAGTTACGAAATAATGAATACTGTTATGTAATATACATGAATATGTTTATAATATGTTACAGAGAACCAAACACTTTCAAATGAATTGTATTTCTATTCAATTGTTATTTTTACACAGACTTTATATGAGATGTACTGTATACAGGGTAATTTTTGCCCCATATTATTTTCACCCTTTCACACTTTCAAACAATTTTGCCCCATTTTAAATTCGCCCAGTCACAGTTCTGTTTAAGAAATTATATTGTGTTCTTTGAATTCACCCCATTTTAAATTTGCCCGCCTATGAGTAAGGCGAAAGGGGCGAAAATGCAACAGGAGCAAAAATTTGCCTGTATACAGTAGCTTGAATGTTATTTATATAGGTTGGAGGGAGTGATCAGCTGGGGAACATTGTGTCAGGTTATGAATTCCTCACCAAGATACACAAGAGACTTTTCTTTGGTGAGTACTATTTACAGTTTTATGTCCATTGGGAGATTTTGAGGTCACAGATGTATTGTAGCAGTTTATAGGAGGAAATGTAGGATAAACTGAACAGATTTGTGTTACTCTGTATAACAGGACTAATGGTGCCATTGTTAACAACCTCTGGTGGAGAGAAATTAGGGAAAAGTGCCAACAACTCAGTATGGTTAAATCCGGACAAAACAACACCATTTCACCTGTACCAGGTAAAATCTTCATTTATATATAATGCTCTTTTAAAAAAAAACAATGACACAATGATATTCCTTATATTCAAATGTAGAGTCACCGGTGATGAAGTCACTTCGATATAATTACGCATGTGAGTTAAGGCTAGGTATAGGCGTTTCTATGCAAATGAGCTAATAAAAGTGCATAAGAGGTGTATTTATTATTCAGAGAAAGTGTTAATTTATTTTCTTATGCATACTTAGTACCCACGATATGTTATAACCAGTACACATTATGACGTCATATTATGACATCACTGATCGTACCTACTGGGTGTAATAAAATAGGGTGAATTCACCATGCATCGGACACCCTTGCACTTCAACAAGTTCTAGCGATATCGCTACCGACCGCATATTATCAAAATGGAACTTAATATGTAGTATGTGGTTAAAATATAAATTTTTGACAAACCGCGCCCTATTAATTGAGAAAATATCATTAAAAACAGATTTTTTCGGAATAAGTCAGAATTCACCATGGATCGGACAATATTCACCATGCATCGGACATACGATATTTTAACCAGAAAAATATCATACCTAGATCTCCGTGCTTTAAAATGAGTGATATCGAAACATTTTTATCTTTAATTCAAAAATTAAACTTCTAATTAAATTTGAATGACTTTTTCGATCCACAAATGTGAAGAGATTTTAGTTGCATCACATCGCCTTAGAAAAGATTTTCAATGCTAGTAATAGGGCAACTCGCGCCTTTGTCTCGTGGGTTATCATCATCTAGTTTTAAGAAATAAATTGAGTCCACTTCTAGTCGTCATATATCGATTATCTGTATTTTCACTGAAAATTTAGAGTTTCTATTTTTTATTTCCGTAAAAAACAGCTGTCATTTTGGGTTTTATAATATGAAAATGGAAGTGATTACCCATGCATCGGAAAGTGTCCGATGCATGGTTAATTTGTGTCTGATGTAAGGTGAAATAAACATACTAGTTAAAAACAACTCTAAAATATATTATTCAAACATTGAAGTAAAATTTTTGAAAAATTTCTGTAAAATAATCAATTATTGATAAATTTTACTTAGGTCCGACCTGTTCCGTTGACATCTATTTAAAAGAACGACAACTCTAAAAATTGCAAAATCGTAAAATTCTGGTTACTCCCCTTTGATGATGCAAAATATGACGTAATTTCAAGGCCATTCTTGTGGTATTTTTATCACAACATGAAAATAAAAATCGGCATCATTAAAAAGTTTGAATCTTCCCCTTTAAGACAGAAACAAGTAAAAACACGAGGAGACTCGGGTTCAATGAAAGTTTATTGCTGAAAGTTGTCCGAAGCAAGGTATGTGTCCGATGCATGGTTAACTCACCCTACATCAACAAAACAGCTTTGGCGCAAGGGATTATCCTATTTATTTAAACATAGAAATTGTATAATGCTTAGAAGAATATTCTATAGATTAGTAAAACTGCTGCACAAATCCAAGGCATTTTCTCATTTGATCGAAATTTGAGGAAACTTATACCAGACTGTACATTTTTACCCTTATTCAACTTAAAACTTTACAAATAGAAATTATACAACCGAGCTGTTGATATTTGTGCAGCAATACCAGCAAACTTTGGAATATTTTGCTTCTAAATATACCTTGTTTCAGTTAAATAAAATAGAATATGCCCTTGCGCCGAAGCATTTTTGTTGATATCCATTATAATCTCTTGTAGTAAAGAACAATGACGTCATAATATGACGTCATAATGTGTACTGGCTGTCTCATGTCGTGGGTACCAAGTATGCATTAGACAATAAGTTTAAACTGTATAATAGATATAGTCCTTAGGCATTTTAATTAGATTATTTGCGTAGAAATGCTTATACCTAGCCTTAACTCACCTGCGTAACAGGGGCAAGTTAAATTCTTCATTAAAACTGTGTTATTTTCCAGCATTTTATTAACTTCCCTGATGTTAAATTCTTCATTAAATTTGTATTATTTTCCAGCATTTTATTAACCTCCCTGATGTTTAAATTCTTCAATAAATTTGTATTATTTTCCAGCATTTTATTAACCTCCCTGATGCTGATGTAGAGACTTACCTCAGGCTGTTTACATTCCTGACAAAAAGTGAGATTCAGGACTGCTTAGCTGACCTGAAGGTGTGTAAAAATACAGACAATATAGAGATGTGTAGCAGAACAGGGGTGTGTAAAAACAGAGACAATTTAAAGATGTGTAGCAGAATAGAGGGTGTGTAAAAATAGAGACAGTACACAGATGTGTAGCAGAACAGGAGTGTGTAAAATTAGAGACAATATAGAGATGTATAGCAGAATAGAGGGTGTGTAAAGATAGAGACAATATAGAGATGTGTAGTAGAATAGAGGGTGTGTAAAGATAGAGACAATATAGAGATGTGTAGTAGAATAGAGGGTGTATAAAAAATAGAGACAGTACACAGATGTGTAGCAGAACAGGAGTGTGTAAAATTAGAGACAATATAGAGATGTATAGCAGAATAGAGGGTGTGTAAAGATACAATATAGAGATGTGTAGTAGAATAGAGGGTGTGTAAAGATAGAGACAATATAGAGATGTGTAGCAGAACAGAGGGTGTGTAGGGAATATAGACAATATAGAGATGTGTAGCTGTATGGAGGATGGGAGGAAATAGAGACCATTTAAAATTTTATAGGCTGTGACACAGAGGGTGGAGAGGAATTGGAGATAATTTAGGACAGTGTAGCTTATCAGAGAATGGATATATAAAAAATACTTATATTCCTAACCTGAGATTGGAATTGAAAAAAGATATCTGATCTTAGAATGGATAGAAATTGAAGATAATAAAGTATTGTATAGCAGAGCAGAGGATGGGTTGGATTACTGGTTGATTAATTTTAGGAATGTTAATTTAGTTGATATGAAATGGAATAGAAGATACGTATGTAAGTGAACTCAGACAATAGCTGAACTTAGATTGGGTAGAAAATAGAAATGATCTAAGTTTTTGTCATTGATCTTAGGAAAGGGTGTGTTATGTAGATAATCTAGGACTCCACAGCTGACCAAAGGTAGGGTAGGAAAGAGAAATGGTGAATCATTTAGCAAATTTCTGATCAACAACTTACAACACTCAGGATGCTGTTTTGTGCATGTGTTTGCAATAAGTTTGACAAAATTTCAACTAAATTTCCTAATTTGTTGTAATTCTAAATAATCTCCTCTGTTCCTGATAGGAGAGACCAGAATTAAGAAGATCCCAGAAAACAATAGCAGAGGAAGTAGTTAAACTGGTTCATGGAGGTAAATTTAATTTTAAAGGACATAAGTTTGGTATTTACTATTTAAATGTGGATGATGTGCAATTTTATGTTATCCTTGACTAATCATTCAGTCAATTTAAATATGAAGGTAAAAACTTTAAGGTCGATATCAAATAAGATTGTCTTTGGAACATATTTGTTTCACTGATACATGATTTTTTTTTTTTAAGCATGTGCCTTGCTGTGTAGTCTTTTGTTTTTGTTTTTTTGTTTTTTTTTTAACCAAAAACGATTCCAATTCCATTACCAGAAGTAGGACTGGAGCAGGCAGAGAGGTGGACAGATGTGTTTTATAATCAGAAGGTAGAGACCCTGGCTGTTCTTACTGACCTGGAGGTCAACATCCTCTTTAGGAATTCCCTCATCACCTCCCTCCCTCTCTCTCCTGGACTGAGACTGGCCGATGTCTGTAACAGAATCAAGGTCTTCAAAAACGAAGGTAAATTTATTGAGCAACTTATAAAGTTTGAATTCATTAAGTTGCAAACCCTCTCTTGATTGGATACTGTTTAGGTACTTATTTAGCAGTAATTGCATTTAGCGTCTTTTGGGCTGCTTCATGTCGGCTACTTAATGTCCACATTAAAACATGATTTAAAATTATTGTTTTCAAGACTCAAATGTGCTAATTTACGACTGCAATAATCAGCTGAAGAGGAGCATTGCACTAAATTTTGAGTGTGCTAATTTATATACCTTTACGGTACTGTAGATTCCTAATTATATGCGAGGAATTAATTATCGCATAATTTTGCAAGAAGCTCCATGAAATAAAATTACTCCCTTTTATTTCTATGGTGCTGAACTCCATATAAAATCTAATGATCAACTGCCCACTCGCAATTTGATGTCTAAGAGGCATTTTGTGATATTAAGTGCTCGTGTAAAATAAGGAATCTACAGTATCATTGATCATTGAAATCTGATCTCTAAATTTGCTATAATGTGCTCCGTCAAGATTGACACTGATAGAAACTGAGTCTGTCTTTAAATTTTCATCGTAAAGGTGAAGCGGAGGAGAAGATAAAGTCGGGTCAGGTGAAGGTGAATTTTAGACAAGAAAAGAACCCCGACACAGTGCTGAGAGAAATGGAACACATTCTGCCAAATGACATCACTCTTATAACTCAAGGTAAAATTTGAATACATCACTAGGGATCTTTAAACCGTGAAGCAACATAAATGCTAAGATTACTTTTTTCAATGGTAATATTTTTTTGCTAATTTTTCAAGGTATAAATACACACAGATACAAAACATTGTTAATGTCACTTACTTCAGTAGAATTTTTTTTCATTTCAGGGAGAAAAATTCACCATGTTATCAAGTGGGCATCCTAGTGATTATAAGACATAGGTTTTATATGTGTGAATGATAGTAATCAAAACATAGTGAACTGACTCTGAAGTATTGCTCCTAGAATGGCTCTGATGATAGACTTGGTGTGAATAATAAATTCATTGATTGTTTAAGTACTTCACTGTTGTTTTGAAGACTGTGTTATGTCTGAGCTGTTGTGACATAATCAAGTACAGTTGTACTTTGGTATTTTGAACACTGATATCTTAAATACCATGGATATATCAAAGTGATTTGAATGTCCAAAACACTTTTTCTTTATATATTTACCCTCAGTATCTTGAATTCTCAGCTATCTGGAATGTTTATCTCAGTCCCATTGAGTTCAAGATAATGAGGTTTGACTGTATATGTTACTTTCTTCTTTCACCTGAAAGAAATTTTTCACTGTAAAAGTGATATCTTTCACTGTGAAAATATAAAAAGTGCAGCATAACTTGAGATTTTTCATTCCCTTCACAAAGTATGTCATAAAAAAAAAATACTCCCTGTTACAAGATAGCAAGAGTAAATAAACCTGACAGACTAAAACTGCCAAAGTTTCTACAAATTGTTAATATCCATGATTACAATTTTAAATCTCACAATCCCTTTGCTATGATGTCTTACAACTCAACTAAGTCGTCATAGCCTACGACACTCTGTGAGACATGTTTTCACTCATGCTTCATCAAATAACCAACTCGTGCAATAATTTCCAAATCTAACTACAAAACATTGAATATCCTCTATTTCTTTTTTTAAAAAAAGATTATAGGTATTTTTCCTCAGAGTATATATTAAGTAGCTTGTTTATCACACTCAGTAATAAGATGTGGCATAAATACACTTAATGTAGGACCAAGATGCATGGAAATGGTTTAAAAAGAAATTAAAGAGTGATAAATCTCTTTTTTATGATGCAAGTACGTGTGCAAGTAAACTTTTATAACACAAAAATCTAACTTTTTAATTGCATTCAATCTATGAATTGGCTGGAAAGACACTATATGATTTTGTTTCCAGATTAATTAAAGGCAAAAAAACTAATACTTTGTTTTTTTTTGTTTTTGTTTTTGTTTTTTTTTTTTTTTGTTACATTTTAGTATATTTCAGAAATATGAATTTTTAGTTACAGATGTAATGTTTAAGAAAAATGTCTCGTTAACATGTTGAGTTTTATTGAAAAAGTATTCATAGTTTTCAATTTTATCCGATTATTTTTTTTTCAATTGCGGAATGATGTAACGTAGGCATGATTGTAACGTAGGTTTTGATTGGCTGAGTTCAGTAACGAGAAGAAAAAGGACCGACGACAGGCGACACGAGGCTACTAGTTGAGTTTCATTAACTGTTTCCGTCTAGTTTATTGTTTACTTCACGTTAGGTAATATCTAAAGGTTGAAAAACTCTCTTACTCATCTTTTACTAGTCTTAATAATACAGTTTTGATTGTGAAATAGATGCATAGCACGGTGTTTATCAGAGGAAATGCGGACTTGCGTTGATCATTGTGTGGGACTTGCATCATGATGAGCTGACAGCAGCACCGGCACTAATTTCTGGAAAAGTAAGCTATCTCAAGTCTTTTTTTATGATAAATGGATTCTAATTTGACTGCTGTGATGATGTTCATGTGCCAAACTTCTTTAACATTTCGTTGTGGAAACTCAAACTGGTCACATTACTGTAGTTTTGAATTGGTATAGACAGTGCATGGCCGTAGGAACAAGGGGGGGGGGGGGGCGTGCCCTCCAATAATTTTGCCGATATATAGAATACTATAGAAAACATTGCTACGATATGCTTGTGCCCCCTCAAAAATAACGTCTGATGACCTTTTTTTTTTTTTTTTTGTCAAGGAATTTTTGGTAGTTGATAGTGCCCCCCCCCCCAAAACTGAAAATGCATGGTATGTGCCCCCCCCCCCCCCCCCCCCCGAACTGAAATTGCTTCCTACAGGCCTGCAGTGACCGAGTGAGATGAAGTAGGTTTAGTTAAAATAAATGTAAAAGAGTAATATTGTAAATACTCATGTTACCAATTTATTTTTATAAGTATTTTAATTATATATATCTTGTAATCTTGGTGAGATTTGTTGAGACTAAATCCCAGACTAGTGTCATACAAAGTGACTCGGGGAAATCTTGCCTGGACTTCGACCGCTTGTTTTGATCAATACAGGCTGAAATGAATTCCTTGCCTACTTCAACTTTTTGCTTTGGACATCCTTTTAACTCCCTGTCACTATAAAACTTTTGTTTCTTACCTTTTAAAGGTTTAAATCCAACCAAAATCAAGTTGTTGATTTTTTCATAGCACTGACGTATTCGTTCAAACCTCCAACGCCGAAGAGTTCCAGCAATACTTCGTTCTACTATGATTTCCTGTAGAAATGAACCATAGTACGAAGATTTTCCCGAGTCACTTTGTGTGACACTAGTCTGAGATTCGTATGAGACCTCTATCCAAAATTTTAAGTCTCGACAAATCTCGCTGAGATTATATATCTTTTAGCCATTAATTCATATAGGAGTGACGTGAATGAAGCTCAAGGCTAGGATTTTGATTAATTTCTTAGGGGCTTGGTTTCAGGATGTTGTATTTTATTCATTGTGTGTCTTTCTATGTCTAGATAATATATTGATTATCATAAAAATTGAAAATCGCTGAAATTTGCTGTTTTTGAAAGTCATATTTCAAATGTGCAGAAAAAAATAATTAGGTTGACACTCGCCATCTTGGATTCCAGGGAGTGCCTCAGATCACACTTGATTTTAATCAATTTCTACACTTTTTCTACTGGTGTCAAGTGAGATGTAGCTTCAAAAATGATTGAATAACTCCCTTCTATCATCTGCTGCAGATATGCACTTACCATATAAAATATGCAGTGAACCAAAATGTCCTTGATACCTAGCACTGAAATCAAAAGCAATTGAAGTGATGATTTCTAACTATGTAAAGTGTAGAAGCATCCTGTAATTACATGGAAATCTAGAGAAAACAGTTTGGTGAAGCTTTGGCCTCTCTAGACTTTCTGTGCAATTCCAAAATACCTTTAATCTTCTGTATTTACTTTTTTATGTTTAGACTAGAATTGAACCAAATCTGAAGCTGAATAAACAGTCTCTGAAGAAGCTTCTAGTATTGTGAATTCTTTAAATGATGTAAATCACAATAATGGCAGAGGGCAATTCCTCAAAGGACATACCCCGAGGGCTAATCAGCAGAAGGGGTCTGCCCTCAGGGAGAGGAACTAGGTACGTTTTAAAATCACAAGCAGTGCATTATACTACAATCAAACTTTATTTTGAAGGTAAAAGTGATTTCTAGGATAGTCTCAATTTTGCAAATGGGTTTTTCCAAGAATTTTTAAAAAAGTATATTCCTGAACATGATAAGAATTGTTAAAGGTATGATTTTTTTATTGCAGACTGCCTTCAATAGGGAAGCCTAGAGACCTTACATTAGGAGGAGTACCAAAGAAAGTTTTTACCCCCAACATCCCTGCTAGGAGAGATAAGAGTGCTGACAAGTATGTTGATGATTTATTAATGAGATGCATAGGGAAAAAAAAGAAAAGAAAAAGTCTGTGGGTGAAAAGAAATATGTATATAATCTTTTCAACAGATTTTGTTTGGTTAGAAAAGTTCGTTCAATGGCTAGATAATTTCTATGTTCTTTGTTATTTAAGTAAATGTGTAGAAATAATTATTTAGTATCTCTGATTTGAATTACTTTTCAAACTAGTACATATATTTTAGAACTGAAGAGAAAGGAGAAGGGAAGAAGGAAGGAAAACAAAAACCAGAGAAATCTGGAGGAAAAGATGAGCGAGGTAGAGGCAGAGGACGTGGCCGGGGCAGAGGAAGGGGGCGGGGCCAGGATGTCATTCAGTCCCACTCCATCTTTGAACAAGGCCCAACAGAGAAGATGGCAAAAGGTTAGTTAAACACTGTTTTAGATCCCCATAAAATGGTAGAGACAAATATCTGGTTTTCTTACTCTTTAATTTTATGTTTAGTGTATGCAATATTTAAGACATGCTAAATCTAAAAATATTGAGGAAAGTTTATGGTCATTTAAAAGCATGTACAATTTACTTGGAAAAACATGTGCATGGCATATAAACTTAACTGAAGATCATACTATAATTGTACTATTCCTAACCCTGAATTTGGAATACAATTTAAAGTTAAGTGTAACAGGGATGGGAGTCAGTAAGGACTTTGGCAATTATTGAGACAAATAAACAGGATTCATTCATTGAATTCAAGTTGCAACAAATATTTTTCATAAAATTGTGACAATAACCAAACACATATTCTAAGTTATCATAATTATTTTCTGCAGGTTCTTCAGTATTTGAGAGTTATGGAGGATCAGGGCCTAAATCTGGTGGGGGAGGGGGTGGATCTTCAGCAGGTGGATCTAAGCTGGGCGTGAAGAAAGAGAGGTCAGATGAAGAAACAAAGGAAGTCCTGGACTATCTTCTGAAAGATGATGTATGGCTATGTAGGAGAAACTTTGTTTTATGTTAAATAGGAGAAACTTTGTTTTATGCACAGGCCTTTGGATCACTTAAATCCGACTTAAAAAAAGTGGGGTGTATAAAAAAGATAAAGGTATGGAACTCCTTACATAGGGTACCCACTTTCGCTAATAAAATACTTTTTGATCGAATGCTCTAAAATTTTACTTTCTATTCATATTTATTCGTATATAATCAATATACATTACCACCAAAGTTCATTCCGAAATTCCTTGTACTTCCCGAGATATGGTGAAATCAATTCCAAAATTGATCTACTTTTTTTTACTCGACATTAGCTTGGGCCCTGGTTATTCACATGTATACAGATGGTGTTTGAACTGCAACGAACAGCTGCATAGTATTTGCACAATCTTCAACATTTTAAAGTTGATTTTTTACTCCATATCTTAAGGTTAAGTCAGTAATAATTCCTTTCGCGAAAAATTTTTTTAGAAACGTTTGCTCCAACAACTTCACAGCCATGTTGTTTATTAATGTAAAAAGAACTATGATTGAATGAAATTTTCCCGGAATGTATAATTTACCTTTTGATTTTTTAAAAATTATACCGCTAAATTCTTGGTGGTAACTTATTAAGACCATATGATCAAATCAGATAAAATTTTGTAGAGACTTGAGTGCTAATAAACAAATATTCAGAGAATATAGAATAAATTCCGGGAAGAATTTGTCCCGTCATTCCCGCTTTACAATTAGTGTAACTTTTCAGAGGCCCAAGCTTATGTAGAGCAAAAAAATAAGGTCAATTTTGGAATATGATTTCAGCATATCTCGGGAAGTATATGGAATTTAGGAAAGAACTTTGGTAGTGATGTAGAGTGTTTATATGTGAATAGTTATGAATAAAAACTAAAATTTTAGATCATTTGGTTTAAAAGTATTTTATTGGCAAATGTGAGTACCCTACGTAAGGAGTTCCATACCTTTATTTTTTTTTATCAACCTTAATTTTCAAAGCGATCTAAGGGCCTGTGGTTTTATGTTAAATAGAAGTTTGATTCATCTAATTCTGCTAGAATTATACATAAATCTCTCCAGAGAAATTAATTTTCCTTGTAACAAAATAAAAGTTAAAAAAAAAAGATTTCTTGGAGCAATATTTTGAGTACTTGTACAGTGTACATGGAGTTGATAAATATCTTGAGTAATTGTACAGTGTACATGGAGTTGATTAATATTTTGAGTACTTGTACAGTGTACATGGAGTTGATTAATATTTTGAGTACTTGTACAGTGTACATGGAGTTGATTCAGAAATTATGTTACTGGATTTATAAATTCCACCGAAATTGAAATTCATCAAAAAAAATTGCTAGAAATTTGTTTTACTTTTGTTTTCCTTCAGTTTATTGCTGGTCCCCTTTCTGAGGACAAGGACATGGCACCAGTCCACTTACCTCTCTGTATTGTAGAGGACATCAAACCTGCTGTTAAAAGTAAGATTTTCAGATGGCAGTTGTATAATCCATGTATCTCTGTATCAACATTAATTCTGATAATAATCAAGGCTATACTGTATATTTGCATTCAATGGAATTTAGGATACATCGCAGATAATGTACTGTTTAAGTTTGTTTCAATCATGGAGTAAGTACAAAACTTATGAGATACAATCTCGGTATGTTCTCGATACATCCTCGATCAGCGTGTGTTCTGGTGAATGCTCTGCTTTTGCAAAGATGTTAGAGAAAAATCTGTTCTTACTTACTAATGATGTCATTGTGATGAGATCATCAAAAGGACAGAAACAATCTTGTACATGTATATGATGGTTCATTAAATTTAGAAACAAATATGCATGTATGTCGAATTGTACTTGAATTTTTAAAATAAGACATTGATGATGTACTGTGAAATCACAGGGGGGCTTAGTTTTCATTGTTTTAGTAGTATAAAGATATTCACAAATTAATATTCTCCACAAAATGTTAAAATTTACACTAATTCAATCACCCATAAAATCAAATCCACATGAACTAATTTTTTTTTTCTCAAACCATGAAAATTGACCCCATAAAAATAAGTAAATTTCAGTATGTGTATTGGTTTGAATTTCAGTATGTGTATTGGTTTGAATTTTAAGAATTCTCCTGATCTTGTATTTTAAAGCTTTCAGTCCATTTATGTCCTTTCCATAAATTCCTGCTATGATTTGTAAACTGATTTTGTGATTAATGTATTTGATCATTTAATTTCTTCCTATTTATAACATCCTTGATCAGCTGTTATTCCGGTGAGTATGCAGCTTTTGCAGGATGTGAAATGAACATCTGTCTGAGTGTTCAGTGTTCAAGTTCAGAGATCTTTGTGAACTTCTCATTCAGTCAGAGACAAAGCATTTTGACATTTGTAGGACCAATAGAAGCATTTTATAATTCTTCAATAGTCTGGGCAAAAAATAATATTACAAATACTTTTAAATAATTCATCTTCCCTTATAGCTTATTTGCTAGTGTAACAAATTTAAAAAAATGCATGAAAAATGAATGCCAACTGGACCAAAGAAAAAAAAATTAGGCTATAGAAATTGTCTATTACGTTACGCATATGAAAAATGTATTTAAAAAATCAAATATTATTTTAAAGTTGAAGCAGATTCTGGTGATGTGGAAATGACAGAAAGTGTTAAAGCCAAGGTGGACATATCTGTTAAAATTCCAACCAAAGCCAAGCTGGCCCAGGAGACCTGTCAACACATGTTCTCTTCACTAAGTAGTGGGGGTGAGTTTGGGGAGGTCCATCTTTAAAAGTTTGATCATTTGGTTATTTCTGATCTTGAAATATTACTGTATTAAGAGTTCAAAGATAGGTTAATCACTTACTGAAAATACATTCAATTTACAGCTGTTCAAGTTACACTGAAAGGTTCAGGAAAAAATATTTCACTCTATGGAGGTGATACTGTAATATGTTTGTTTGTTTTTTTTTTAATGAAGACCCAAACCAGATGGTGTTTGTCCAGTTTCCTGACGTTATGCCAGGGGTACCTGCTAGTTATGGGAAAGAAGAGGATGCCAAAGCCAGCAACAAAGACCAGGTATTAATATTTAAATTCCGTAGCCATTTTATTTGAAAAGACACAGTTTTTTGCATTTTTTTTTCTACATATCTCCATGCTTTAGAATTTTTGAAAGTCTTTTTATATTTCAACAAGTTCTATTGAATAGAACTCGTATTCTGTGCCATTGCAGGCAGATTTTTGAATGTAGATTTAATGCGTTGCAATCGCCAATTTTCTTATTGATAAGATATAGCTGTAATGAGCACCAGAATTTATAACAAAATCAGCGGTAATGAGTTGGAATATTTTGCGGTAATGAGTTGGAATATTTTGCGGTAATGAGTTGGAATATTTTGCGGTAATGAGTTGGAATATTTTGCAGTGTAGCAGTAAAGGCTGTAAGGACTTAAACTGAATTCACTAAACAAACAGTAGTAATAATGGGAAAGACTTATTATTTTATCTCCTGGAATTCCCCAGAATTACACTGTAGTAAAAATCTGAAAATTTTATCATATAATGTGCTATATTTTAAAACAGAGAATGTTGAATACTTAAGATCAAGAAACAATGTTTTGATTGAAAAGAATAAGGGGAGATATTATAAAGTGAAATGTTAATAATTGTTATTTGTGAATTTAAAAAATCTTAAGAAATGGTACAGTAAAACTCATTTAGTACGAACCAGATATAACGAAGTTTTTTTGAGATCCCTGGCAAAATTCTTAGCAAATCCTTGTAAAATTTTATGGTTATAAAGAACATGGATATAACGAATTTAATTTTGTATCGTTTATAAGTTAAAAATAACGTAATATATATCTTTTATAACGAATATTTAAGATCACAAAATTTTAAGTATTGAACTGACATTATTTTCCATAAGTATGTATGTCTGAAATTAAATTCATCTAAAATGTTTAGTTCTCCAAGATATTTTTTGTATTTAATATTTCCCTGAACATATTCGGTAGTCATACATGAAGGAAAACGTGTATTGCGAATTCACTTTATGTAATTTTACGAATTCGTTATAGGGATATAATGAATTACAGATATAGCAAAGTAAATTCAAAGGCCCCTAGGACTTCCCTATAGCTGAGTTTTACTGTATATGTCTGTGTATATGAACTAATTAACTTGATGCATGTAAAATATTCAGTTATTGGTTTCTTATAGACAGAGTCCTCCAAGAAAATTGGTGCCAGTCCCCTGTCTGGTTTTTCAGAAGGTCACATGGGAAAACTGGTCATACGGAAATCGGGACGAACCTCCTTAATGCTTGGCAATGTGGTGTTAGATGTGTCATTGGGAACCAAATGTGGGTTCCTACAGGTATGGGAACCAATATATGTATAAACAGGGATTAACATGTAGTACCAATTACTTCAAATTTACAGCATGAAATATTCTTATTTTGAGCTTTAGATTTGCAATGCTTTATGTATTATTAAATTTAGGTGTTTTGTTTTTCATTTTCAGGATGTTGTTTCTATTCACACTGACAGTGGTGGAATGGGAGACATGAGTGTTTTAGGACATGTGACACACAGACTTATCTGTACTCCAGACTTTGACTCTCTTCTTCAGGCCAATCAGACTTAATAACAATGGAGTGATCATTGTGTGTAGTGACTTTCTGTTTACTTGTGACATTAGCCTTAACTAGATATTGTTGAGAAGGTGACTGTCTCAAAGGATCCCACTTTTAGTACAAGACATAAGGATGAAAGGGACTTGTTGGGGTTTGACCTTGATCTTTGACTTGCACCATCCTTGGGTGAGGTATGAGTCATATGGCACCAAGGGGAGAGGAAATATGCTCTTGACAAGGATATCACACAGATATCTGTTTGACTTTGACCTCTGAACTAAAAACTTGGTTCAAGGTCAGCCTTAACCCACAATGACTGCACGAGCCAGGTAGGAGCCAAGGGGAGAGAAAAGATGCTCCAAACAATTTTTATACGGAGAGCTGCTATAACCTTGACCTTTGATTAAGAACATTAGTCAAGGTCACTGCACAACCTTAACTCATGGTCGTTTTGTGGCTATAATGTGACCAGATAGGGCCAAGGGGAGAGGAAATATGTTTCTTTTTTTTTCAAGATGTTTTTTTTATTCTGATGTTCACTCTAAAAATTGGTTCAAGACCATTGCATTTAACTCTATTCATGGACACTATAGTATTGTGATTTCAAGCAAGATTAGACCAAGGCGAGAAAAAATATGTTTGATTGACCTTTGATTATGAAAATTTGTTCAAGGTCAAGATATCTGTGTAAAATCCTTGCACATTTTCTTTCCTCTTGGCTCCATCTGGCTAACACCTTACCCAGAGAGTGCCCATGGGTAAATGTGTTTGTCAGAGGTCAAGGTCAATCTTCAGTTTTAGTATTTTACATGTCCCTTTCATCATAATGTTCTTTACTAAAATTGGGGTACTTTGAGAATGTGCACCATCAAAACAATATTTAGTTTTATGAATATTTCGAAGGCCACCTTTGAAATAACCAAACTGTGAAAAAAGAATCAGTTTTCAATTAACGATTGGGTACACTTGTACTGCAGTTCTCTCAGACATAACCAGATTTATATTGTTTGATGTTAATTATAGTAGGGGGGCTTTATACTGCTCCTTTTAAAGTTGTAAAATGAAATTATTGTTAATAAAATAATATTAAATTAGATGGTTTATTACAAGTAGAATTAATTTAAAGTGATACTGATTAAGTATTTTTTGCCACCCTGTTGCATTTGATTATCACACATTATACATTTATTGACTGGGTTCAAGGGCAACGTGTTTTGTCGAACCCAAGAACCAAACTGTTTGCCTGAGGCCGTTAGGCCGAAGTCAAAGAGTTTGGTTCGAGGGGTTGACAAAACGCATTTTGCCCGACAACGCAGTCGATAAATGTTTTGTTATACCTTTTATTTATTTATTTTATTATTATTATTTTTTGGACATACATTTAGCTGACCCCGCCCATTATGTGACATAAGCAGTCCAACATCTCATCGACAGGTCCAATATCTCACTCGATCTTTTTTATGCCCGCTCAGTAAAACATTGGAAATGTTAGACATTTTTTTAGTATTGATTTATAGGAACAAAGGTATAACAATATCAGTTATTACATCTTGAGGCCTTGGGCTTTGTAAGAAAAAGTAAGTCATGGTAACCTGCCTTTTAGTTTTTCTGCTATGAATTGTCTATTTATCCAGTACAGTTTGAAGCCTGTGATTACCAAACTGTGTTGATTTATGCATTTTGGGATCTTGGGATACAGTTCGGTATCTCGAACACTGATGTCTTCTATACCATCAATATGTCAAAGTGAATTGAAGTCCCAACCCCTTATTTTTAAGTATTTTACTCTGGATATCTCGAATCCTCTGATATCCTGAAGTTTGTTCTCGGTCCCATTGAGTTCTAGTTAATGAGGTTTGACTGTATATATGCTTCTATTCATTATCCTTTAGCTACAAATCATTGAAACCTGTCAATCTCCAGCATGGCTTTATGACCAGGTCTAACTTTGCAGCCTTCCAACAGTGATTGAAAATCGTCAGTGATAAAACCTAATACGATTTCAAAATCCCAAGAACCCCAGTCCACTCCCAGTGTTTTGGAGAATTTGAAAGCTTATACATATACTCCTCCTCCCCCACCTTTTTGTTATTTAATATATAATAAACATCTAAAGTTATCTGTATCAAGTCTTTAGACTTTATTATTTGACAATGTTTTGTCAACAATAAGTTAATAACCATGTTAGTAAAAACCCTGATTATACAGAATCTCATTTGACCTGTGAATTTTTTTGGCATCTTTATTTTTATATGTCATTACGTCAGATACATGTATTTTGCCTGAAGAGGAGAAAGCAATGAAAACGAATTGTTTCATTGAAGTTTATGTAAAGTACATATATGTATGCATCTACATGAGTATACATGTATGTATCTTGTTTGATCCTGAGGTAGCGTTATAGAAACTAGTTTGTAAAGTGTGAATAAATTATAAGCCTCTTTTTTGGATGTGTATGAAGTGATAACGGCATTGGATCACGTGATGATTAGCATAAGCGGCTAAAATTGAGAAGATAGTAGTTTGCATGTCAGTTATAATAATTCTTCAGATGCTGTATATGACTTTATTTTTTTAAAATGGTTGGTCAGATTGAAATTTCTTAAGTGGTCCATTTCCAAGGGGGGGGGGGGGAATCATGTTTTACTCTATTTGAACCAAGAGATCAGTTCATATAGACGTTTTGGGCACAAGGTACCTGAGTGCATGCATTATACATAGGGAATCTTTCAATGATGAAGTAGACTTATGTAAGGATTTTTTTCCAGACACGTATAATTTTTGAAAGGGGGCAGCTAGAGAAAAAAAATGCAACTTACCTGAAAAAACTCCGACAAGCAAAACCAAACTCGAAAATCCTATTTCCGGGGGGTGGGGTGGGGGGTGATTAGTGCCGGGGAGGGGGGGCAACCAGCCTTTAAACGAACATTTTCAACAGTATAAGGTTATGTTTGGGGGAAAAAGGGGGGTGTTACAAATTAAAAAATGTTGAGGCAATTGATAATAATTTTTTCTGCATTTTAACGAAAGGGTTCTGCGATTCATGAAAAGGTAATTTGTTCCACAATGAAACATTGGAAATACTGAAAAGAATTTTAAACAGATTTGTTCGTAGACGAATGTCATAATTGGCTGCAGAACGTAAAATATAATTATCAGAAGAAATGAATTCAAAAGACCCAAATTAGTCAGAGTAAAACGCATCATTTTCAATGGGAAAAGCAGGTTGGTGGATAATATTCGATATATTTCGCTAAAAATTAACAAATTTTATCAGTTGACCTATTTTTTCCACTCCCTACCCTAAGGGTATTAGCAGAGTGTAGAAATGTCAGCTGTCTTCATAATAAACATAAGAATTTTAAAAGATATATATCGCCTCCAAGATAGTTTTAATCCCCCTCCCTCATTAGTATTAACTCTCTTCCAAATTCATCACTATTTTAGTCCAATACCTTTAATTGGAGACTGGGTTCAAAATATTTTATTACAAAGGACCAATATAAATAAATTCAGATATCGTGTATATTTAACTGTAGCGGTCAGACGGGTTCAATCTCCGGTGGCCAGATTGCTCAGTTGGTAGAGCACCTGACTGGAGACTCAGGGGGCCTGGGTTTGAATCCCGGTTTGGTCCGTCGCATTTTTCTCCTCTTCTGTTACATTTAGCGCCGTGCCATGCCCTGGAAGTGACAGGTGAAAGACCTGTCAGGGAAGAGCTTGTGTTGGTGTATTCGGGGCCGAAGACCTCTAAGCGGGGAGGAATATGGCGGTGAGATGGGTAAGATCGCCGGTGGCTAGATAGCTTAGTTGGTAGAGCACCTGACTGGAGATTTAGGAGGCCTGGGTTCGAATTCAGGTCTTTCTCCTCTACGATTGCATAACAAATACAGAGAGGACAGCCCCCCCCCTTAATTATTAAAAAAAAAAGAATAGTAAGAGCCTATAATTTCGATATCCATATTTCGTTCTATGCAAGCAGATTGTACTTTTTCTCACATTTAGAAGTTGGCCATGTACGGTATACTAAAATTCTTAAGTAAACTGTACACGGAAATATGGATATCGTAGACAGAGAAATCGCATATTATTGAGAAATTATAGGCTCTTAACTATTTTTTTAATAATGAAAGGGGGAGGGGGTATCGATCCACACTTCATGCAGGTGCCTGTGACAGAAAGGGGAGAGAAATATCACCGCAAGCCACACCTACCTTTGTAGAGGACTGGGATGTTTGTTGTTTTTTTTTAACCAGAGGACTGTATTTCCCAACTATATGATATTCAAACAAACCTCAAGTAAGCCTATTGAAAAAAAAATAATTTCATCCTTGAATTATGCATGCTAAAACTTTAAGTAAACTGGTAAAAGGCATTCGTCACATTGTTATTTATGACCCAGCTAAAAGTTTGCGTGATTTTATAATGAGGGGTACTTAACAAATGTAATTTGCACCTCCTGCCCAAACTGAGCTAGATCTATACTATTATAGCTACATCTACATGATTCAAGCCCCCCCCCCCCCCCCCCCCTCGCAATTTGAAGTAGGTCGCGCTATATTCGAAATATTCATACTTCCTTTCATCCGTGCTACTGAATTTAAGCTGGCTTTTGTGTCATATAAAAAAAAATAAGATTCTTTTTTCTAAGAACGAGAACTACCGTTTGCAAAAAGTGGGCGTGTCCGGTTCTGAACCCTTTTTGGAATTTTTTAGAAGCTCGGACACAGGAAGTATACTATGCGCTTGCGTGAACGTCATCGGCAACCGATATCGAAGTAAATAATGGCGGAGAATAAGTGAGAATATTAACAATCAACGGCAATCCGTCCCTTTTTGCTGTCCAAATGGCGTTGATTACACTCTGAGTAGAAAGACTAATTATTTGATGAGCCACTAAGACTGTTTTGAAAGACCTGCAGAGGCCAAGGTACATAAAAACAAAGCCCAATCGATGTCATAGTCTCTTTGTTTTCGTTTTGTTTTTGTTGTATATTTGACAACTATTTCTTATTTAACTGATGTCGTCTGTTTGTAGATGGAATTAAGGGTCGGAAACAAATATAGACTTGGAAGGAAAATTGGAAGTGGATCTTTTGGGGACATTTATTTGGGTGAGACAATATAATGATTCACAGGAAGTTTTGACAGCTAAGTTCCAGTCTTTGTGATGTCATAACGTTATTATGAGGGAAGGATTTACTGGTAGTATTAAATTTATATGTTTCGTTGAATTTTACATAGATGGTAAAGAGTAAAAGATTACTTTCACATGCCGAGATGTTGAAAGAGTGTCAATATAATAGTCTTGGATACGTAATAACTAATGTATCACACACTTCATCGAGTCCATGAATCAGTGATTCAGAAATAATACTAAACCTCATAATACTGTGTTGTTCAATGCGCTTAGCGACATTATGCGAATCAATAAATGTATAATTTGATATTTTAAATATATTTGAAGGCTAAAGTGAATGAAAATATTCACTGACCTATTGACACAGTTTCATATGTTGCGAATGAGAGAAGTCATGTACATACAATTTTGTGGAAGTTCAATTTTTATAACACAATAAATTTGAAACAGTATTTGTTACAAAAGGAAATAATTTTATTGTGTATCCGATCTCACATGTATACCGGATACATTCATGCAAACATTCACAGCGATTATTCTCTGCCCATTGGGAATGGGTCCGGTGCCGATTCAATTGGGAAAAATAGCGTTGAAATAGAACAAAGGGAAATTTTGCATTTATTCTAACCTCAGTACCTATTAGTCAATGCTTTAAAGAATAATCAACAAGTATTCATTGTTTTACATATTAATGTCTCTTGTTCTCCTGTTGTCATGCTTTCAAGTCATAAATGTGAACTAAGGTACTGACTACACTGTCAACACACGCGTCCCGCCAAATTACCATTGATTTCTACTTTCAATTTAAGAGGAAGTAAAACAATTAGTTAACTCTTATAATGTTTCATATGAAAAGAATTATGATGTCATCATACTCAGTTCCTCAGCAGCTAAATTGGAAATTTTTAGTCTAAAAATTGGGATTTTTTTTTTTTGGCACTGGGAATGGTATGGTT